TGCTACGCTAATATACACCTTAAGTCCTAAATTATACTTTGTTGTTCGTTTAAATTCTTGCTCACGTGACCCAAACCTTCCGGACACTCGTAACCAACCTTGTGACCCAAAGTAACTTGAGCCTTAACATCCCTCAGCCTAATCTAACACACCTCTTTCGAAAGGTTACTTACCTTTGGTTACGCGAGTTTTTGTATTGTTGAGCGATCGAGTCGCAGTCTTGTCGATATTCACAATATCATTGCTCTAATGCTAATGCTCTAACTTTAATTTTATCTTACGCACCTAGTTTATTTACCGGTACAAATAAATTTCCTTTTTTTGGTTTGTCACAAATAAGTAGAGCCAGTCCTTCAAATAATTTCAGAAAAAGTTATCTCAAAAAGACAAATTCAGGTGTCAGGTGAAATTAATGTAATCTAATTTATTGAAACTTTGCAATTAAAGATATGGTCGTTAAGATAATCCGTATCTACTGTACTTTATTCACAAGATAGATTATCGGATAAATCAGAATAAAAAAAAAAAAAATTAAATAATTTAATGACCACAATAATAGTGATAATGGATCATGTTCTTTCTGTCTGGAGTAAACTTGTGGCCTTCTTATGTCGCGTAGCGTACATAACATAGTCACTTGATGTTTCAATTTCTATGCAAAATGCATGCGATAAGATCGTGTGATTTTTTTTGTCTTGGTATCTTTTTCAGAGCTGTTGCCCGGGTCGTTATTTGGGTAACAGTTCTACGTATTATTCGTCATCATACACTTTGTATCAGATACATGATACTTGTACGTAACAGGTAATAGGTAACGGTAATTCCATGAAATTGTAACGGTAATAATAGTAATTTTGTTACACAACTGGCTCGAATTCGGTATTTTGTGTTAATAATATTAAGGTTAGTGATTACAGGGTTTTAAATTAAGATATTTCGGAGTATCATCCGATGATTGATGATCGCTCACGTTGTCACTCAAATTCTTTATTATTTATCGATATGGTTAATACAAAATGAGTTAGAATTATATGGAAAACTAAACAAAGCGAGTTAGAATAATATAGACAACTACACTATATTAGTACAAAAAAATGTCAGTTCTGAAGACTAAACTTTTATATCGGAATGATTTAAGTGGTCATCGGATAAAACATGTATGCATATGTATTTTAAATAACATTTTAAAGAAATTCTGCATTCACGAAATTTCCGCAAGTTTTGGTATAGTTTCGGTGCTTCAACATTATTTAAATTTGGTCGTAATAATTAGATTTATGTAATCTTCTCGTATTATATGTAATCTTCTCATATTATATGTAATCTTTTCATATTATATGTAATGAGCTCGTTTAAAGAGAATATTTATGAAATAACGAAATAGATGAATTATATTACTTGGATATGAATAAAGAAAACAATTATAAAGTGTATTTGGTGGATTTCTCTTTATATAATTGTTTAATAGTGCACCTGACTTATTTATGAATAAAAAGGTTGGGTTCTCTTTTGGAATTAACATATTAGCAAAGATTCTAGGGTTGACCATTTGAACTTAACTAGTGATCAGCAAGTGCCGGACGATAATGTCCGAGCCATGAGATTCATTGTCATAATATTGTCGATAAATAATGCATGATCTGACATCTTTAAAAAATTTCAATATGAAAACATAAGTAAATAATAATTCAATTGTTTCGACCTAAAAATAAATTATTCTTCTAGCAAATAAATAAATTTGAAGATTAATTGATCATTTGACCATCAGAATTAGATTCATTTGTGTCACTTAAAAAGACAATAAATCTGATGGGTTTTCTATCTTTTGAAAGTAACTTCTCTTGTAATTATATTTATAATGTTTGTAAATCAAAACCAAGAATCAATTACTAGTTCGAATATTATTCCTTCCAAACCTAAAGAAAAAATAAACATCGAACTAGCATTTCCTCCAATAATCGATATGATCTATCTAAAAAATCATCTGATGACAGAATTCCTGCGAGAGCACCAAATGCTTTTATAATTTATCGTAAAGTCTATGTCGAAACAGCTCGCGAACATGGTCATTGCCTGCCAATGACCACTATATCTACTATGGCTTCACAGAGTTGGGAATCTGCTGACGAGCAAGTCAAGGAAGAGTATCGTCGAATTGCTAAAGAAGCTTTAAAAATTCGTAATGAAATGTATCCCAAAATTGGGAAAAGAAAAAGAAAAGATAAATGGAACATTGTG